TCCTGCCTCTGGTTGCTGGGGTGTTGGGGAAATCAGATTTGAGCAAAGCCCCTCGGGGATGTGGCTGAGCAGCCGCAAGAAGGCAACCTCTTTCCGAGTTCCTTCTGCACCCAGGCCCCCTGTGGCGGGAAAAGGCTGGGCGGAGGAGGTGGCCACAGGAGGTCTGGAAACCTCCCACCCGATGTGCCCACTGGCCCCTTTGCTCTCCTCCTGTCCATGGCAGCTGCCTGTGTTCAGTTCCTCCCATGGCTGCCCAGCGCCCTTGCACTGCATTCCAGGCTCCCACCGTGCCAACAAGCCCTCCCTGCACATCTGTCCCAGCCCACCTGGCCAACCTCTTCTCTGAGAGCAGCTGCTCTCTACCGCGTCAGCCTTCCCAGTTCCTGAACTTGCCAAAGCCTTCACTACTTAGGGCTGTTCCCTCTGCCCACACTATTCTTCTCTGCTCAGCAGACCCTCAAGTCTTCCCAGACAATCTTCTGTCTTAGCTTAAATATGAGCCTCTCTGACCTAGAGTTCAAAGAAGCTCCACTTCTCAGCACTCCCAGGGACATCATCACCTGGAAACTATACCTGGGTTTTATTAAATGTCTCTTACCCTCCCCTGGCCTTACACCCCCCCCACACACACACACAGACACACACACACACACACACACACACACACGACTAAATGCTCTATATGGCCTTGTTCATAGCTGTATCCCAGCTCCTTGCACAGTAGGTGATGCCTACAGCTGCCCAATAAATATTTGCTGTCTGAATAGATGGTTAAAGCCATTGGAAGTTATAGGTTGACTTGGAATTTTAGCCTAATTTGGTTGGTGGAGATTCTGCCATAAGTCTCTGCCATAAGGTTTAGGAAATCAGTTGTAAAAGTGCAATTGTGGGAAGGTTTGTCCTGCTTCCAGCCTGTAGAAAAGTATTTTTAATGTCCACACGCTGGACCTGCAGAGGCTCCGCCACAATTTAAAACTTAGAGAGTCAGAGGCTGGATCTACTATGGGTCTGAGAGTCTCCGTGTGCGTAAAACAAAGCAAATGGGCTGGGGCTTGATCCATAGAAGTGTTTTCTTTGGCCAACGACGTGTTTTGAAGTAAATTTAAATGACTTGCCAAGGTTGCAGAATTGGGAGATTTCACATAGTAGATTTCAACATTGTTTGGTAAGCTCTTTGGATCAGATACCACTGGGTCCGAGATCCTGCATGGTAGGACCTGACTAGGTCTGAGCAGGGACAGTGAGGTCCGTTCCCACTGCGCTCACTTCCTCTGTGTTCTCTGGCTGGCCCAAGCTCTGTAACCTTGAGGTGTGGGATCCTGGTGTACTCAGAGTGCCCGTCACCGTGTCCTGCACAGAGGCCCGGAATTACATGTTTTTCCTGGAGGAAAAGGGTGGGGTGGCTTCAAGGCCTTAGCACCAACCACCCTCAGCCTGCCCTTAGTTCTGTGAACGCGCTTGGCATCCTGGCCTTCTCTCCAGAGAGACATGCAACCTGGGCTGAGGGGCCCGGGGCTGCCACATGAGATGACAGTGCACAGGCCCCTGGGGCCCAAGTGCTGAAGCCTGCCTGGAGCTCAGGCCTGGGCCCTCATTTGGGGCCTCTCTGTCTCACTTCGTCCCCTCCTTCCTGAGCCCACAGAGGAGGCTCCTGGGAAAGAAAGGGTGACTCACGCATTCCCAGGATTTTCGAGCTGAGACTGCGTTGGGAGAGCTTCTCACGAGCCTCAGGCTGGACCAGAAATAACCATGATAATTGGGTCTGATCTTGAACCTCCTGTGCGGTGGGGGTTCTGCTTTGGTACATAGCCACAGCCCTTCTGACCACTTGAAATGTTTCGAGATTCTTGTTTCCTTTTCCCTGTGGATTTTTATTTATTGCATACTGCATTGTTGTGCTAAAGAACAAAATAAAAAGGGGAAATTATCACTGAGCCAGCCCTATAATACACTTCTGTATTCTTTTCCAGGCTTTTCCATATGTATACATAATTGTAATTACAGTAAAATTAAAATTCACTCACTCAGGATTCTCAGAATCTGGAATAGAGGGTGGCATGCAGTAGGATTATTTGTTGTCCATAAGATATTTATTTGTTGACCATAAAATATTTTGTTTACTTAACTTTAAAGTGAACACTCACTGACGTTCTAATTGTTTTCTAATTATACATCTACTGATTACTATTGCATCAAATTGTTGGATTTATTTGCCATTTTACTATATTTAGATTTTACCCTCAATTTATCAGTAATAGAAATACTGTTGCGATGAGCATTTTTCTTCACATAACTACTTTTTAGTGTTTTGAATTATTTTCTTAGGATAAATTCTGAGCATTTAAGTTTCTGGGTCAGAGGAGAGAAAAATGAGAATTATAGGAATTGACTTTTAAAGTATTTATCCCTATTACCAGGGTTGTTAAGAAAATTTAGTTTTATCATAACCTCATCAGCATTTGGATTATAAATTTTAAATTTTATAATATCAGATGGTAACTACTTGTTTTAATGTGTGTTGAAGAATTGTCTAAGCATTTAATAATGGTGATTCCTTTTGTGTGCCTTACCTATTTGAATACTTTGCATATCTGTTGGAATATATAGATTTTTTAGTATCTATCAGAATATAGATTTTTTAAAGCTGGGTTTGAGTTAATTTATAATATTAATTGATTGACTCAGTTTTCCTATCATAGTGACTGCAAACATTTTTCTAGTGTATGATTTTCCATTTTAATAGTAGGTGTGTTATAGGTGTGACTCTCTGTTGTGCAGAGATACTGAGAACACGACTGCCAGCAGGACCTTAGAGACCTAACCTGGCCTCCATGTCTCAGAAGGGGAGACCCAGCCCAGAGAGCAGGGGTCACGGCTCAGTGACATGGCTGGGGAGAGGGGAGCCCAGGCTGCCCAAATCGCCAGCCCTGTGATCTGAGCTCCTAAGAGTCCCTGTTGCTCTTCTCAACCAAAAAGCTCTTTTGCACTGAGGTTTATGGGTCTCTTTTTTGGATCAAGGCAAGCTTTGTAGGACTCTACTGAGGGCGTGCTGTTGCCATTCCGATGACAAGGAGCCAGCCATTCCATCTTTCTGACTAAGGGCATTTAAAAATACCCAGGGCAGGAGAATTTGGAGAAACCCATAATTGATAAGCTCTTAGCAGGCAGTAAATGCAGTTTTGTTACCCTCAGAAGATGCATTAGTTCATCAAAATCAATAGCCTCTGTCTGCCACGTGTTGTCCCAGACATTGGGGTCGGTAAAAAGGGAGGAGAGGGATGTGGCCCTGGTTTGGGATGTGCTCTTGCCTGGAGGGGCTTTGGCAACCAGAGGACTTCTTCCGGTTTAAACACTGGAAGGCAGGGCCCCAGAACTGTCAGGACCCCCAGACTGATTTACAAGCAGAGATTCTTTCCCCAGCTCTGCTACTACATAGCCTGTGTCGCCAATTCTCTGGATCCTTAGAGCATGCCCATGGTCAGGTGGTTTCATCATCAGCAAACGTAAACGAACACTTATTTAGTTAAGACTGTGCTGGGTACTCAGGTTGCTACAGAGGTGACTAAGGCTGCTCCACCCTCCTGGGGTTATACTTTGATGGGATAAACAAAATGACTAATATCTACCTGCCAAACAATCAGAATTATAAATGAGTATAAGTAAAATGCCAGGGCTCAACAGGGTTAAATAGGGAAGCTTCTCAGAAGAGCTGAGCTAAGCCAAGCCTCCAGGGATGGATAGAATTCTGGGTGGAGAGGGAGGAAGATAGAAAAGAAGGAATAGTAATAGGACAGATACCAGATGGCAAATGTCCTTGTCCACGGTGGCTGTAGTGCAGGGAGAAGGGGGAAAGGAGAGGTTGGGTCCAGATGGCCAGTGATACTAGAAATTGTCAAAGGGGCACAGCCAGCGTGGCTCAGTTAGTTGAGCAACAACCTATGAACTGGGAGGTAACGGTTGGATTCCCAGTCAGGGCACATGCTTGCATTGCCGGCTCAATTCCCAGTGTGGGGCGTGCAGGAGGCAGCCAATCAAAGATTCTCTCTCATCATTGGTGTTTCTATCTCTTTCTCCTTCTCTCTTCCTCTCTGAAATCAATAAAAAAGAAAAAAAGAGAAATTTTTGGAGGGTTTGAGTGGGATGATGAGAAGGGATATATAACAGAAGCCTCTTTTCTTGAGACTCCTGACAACACCCACCTCCCACAGCTATTGATCCCAGTGACCGTGGGCAGCAGGTGTCTAGTCTGGGTCAGACTTTACCTATTGGCCTCAGTCTGGCAGTCTGGAGTGGAGAGAGGGCCGGCACACGCAGCCCACTTGAAGTCTATTTGGAGAAATCCTGCTTGTTGGTATTTATGTGCTCACCTATTCTACAAATACTTACTGAGTGCCTACTGTGTACACACCAGGTATTTAACAGTGAAGCAGATAAGAGGAGAATGACAGTAGTATAGAGAGGTCCCAAATTCTGGAATTTTGGGGCTTTTTCTCTTTACAGGGAATTGAGTAATCTAGTTCAGTGTTTCCCAAAGTGTGATACACGTACCCCCCCAAGGGTATGGGAAGAGTTTGGTGGGGGTACGCATTGCACCGGAGTTTGGTGGGGATATGCACTGCACTGTGCTTAGCTGCACCTAATTCTATGTTCTCATGAGTACGAGGGGTACTCAGCATTACGAAAATTATAGAAGGGATACACAAATGTCAAAAGTTTGGGAAACACTGATCTAGTTCATTCATTTAAGTGTGGATTCTCAGTGCTGAATTTCCCTTACACAAGGAGCTGCCCTCCTGCTGATCATGTGTGTGTGCTTCCATCCTAGATGCCTTAGGGCACGTCAGCTGCCCCAGAGGACTCATTCCTGGCGGCCAGAAGTTGCCAAGCAACTCACATGTGTTTGGCGGGCTCCCTCGGAGTCTCCAGCTCCCAGTGACACTCCTGGAAATCCAGTCCTCCGACCTACCCAGCTGGCATCCTCCTAGGCAGCCCACCGAGCCATGGAGGCCCCAGAGGTCCCCGTGGGCTCGCTAATTGACTTCGAGACGGAGCCATCTGCCTCCTCACCCACGGAGGCACTGCCAGCAAAGCTGCAGGATGGGGACAGCTCCCAGGGTGATGGCGGGTCAGACAGTGAGACCACGGAGTCAGCAGACAGCGAGAACGACATGGGCGAGTCGCCCTCTCACCCATCCTGGGACCAGTACCGCCGCTCCTCCTCCAACGAGTCCTTTTCTTCCAACCAGAGCACGGAGTCGGCCAAGGACGAGGAGGCCCTGGAGCTCAGGGAGTTCATGCGCGGCTACGTGGAGAAGATCTTCTCCGGAGGGTAAGTCTCTGGGGCCTCTTTGCTGTGGGCTCTGTCCCTTAGCAGAGCATTACCTGGGCCAGGGCTCCCAGCCGCTCACCAGCCAGTGATGGGCCGCCCCTGTAGTACACAACCCCACCTCGGCTGCAGGTAGAACCAGGTGGGGACTTTTCACCCTTTGACACCACCACCGCTTTGACCACTCCACCGACACCCTTACCTCACCATTGCTGAATCCAAAGACACTAGTTTTGCTTTCCCAGTATCTGCGCACTTTCATGCCAGAGTCATGCTTGGCTAGGGGGCTGCAATTATTAGCTGGCATTAAATTTAGGGGCAATATAAGGCAAGAAGGTATCAGAGTCATGCTCCTTGTGATGAGCCTTAAGCAGCTGCTAGGGTGGGAACTTTTCCTTGCACCTCTTCCTGTCCTTCCTTTCACGGTTCTTGAAGGGATGGGTAAGGAGCATGACATTGGGAGCAACAGGAAGTGGGGGTGAGAGTTAGAATGCAGGAGAAGCAAGGAGTCTGTGGATAGGTTCTAGCTCTCCTGCCTCATGTAATTACTGTCTCAACCAAGGGCCAGGAGAGGTAAACCCCAAATTCAGGAGTGGCAGGTGTTGACTGGAGATCTTGCATCATTCACAGCAGCATGTTCAAGGCTGAAAGTCTTGCTACTCAGACTGTCTTTTTTTATATCCTATATAATAATAGGCTAATATGCAAATCAACCCAATGGCAGAATAACTGGTCTTTATGCCATGCACTGACTACCAGGAGGCAGGTGCTCAATGCAGGAGCTGCCCTCTGGTGGTCAGCGTGCTCCCACAGGGGGAGCACCACTCAGCCAGAAGCCAGGCTCATGGCTGGCGAGCCCAGCAGCAGTGGCGGGAGCGGGCCTAAGCCATCAGTTGGATATCCCCCGAGGGCTCCCAGACTGCAAGAGGGTGCAGGCCTGGCTGAGGGACCCCCCTGAGTGCAAGAATTTTGTGCACCAGCCCTCTAGTATAATATATTTTTATTGATTTCAGAGAGGAAGGTAGAGGGAGAGAGAGATAGAAAACATCAATAATGAGAGAGAATCATTGATCAGCTGCCTCCTGCACCCTCCTGCACACAACTGGGTCATAGTTCAATGCTCAATTTGAGCCATGCTGGCTGGGCCCAAACTATCTTTTATGGACCCAAAGCATCTGAGGAGCTCTGAGAGAAAGGGAAGTTTTCCAATTTCGTTAAAGCAGTAAGGGTGTCTACTTGTTGACACTTGGCAAAGGATACATTCTTTTCTATCGTGATTTAGGTCCCTTGTTTATAAACTGGCATTGCTGGAGGCAAACTCAGCTGTGCCTCAGTTTCCTATGCAGTTAAAAAAGAGAAAATTTCAAATGCTAATCCATCTATTTGACTATCTAAAAATCATGTATGTTTGATTTTACAATAAATGCATTCTGGGAGAGCAGTAGATGTGGGTTCCTGTTTATTTTGTTTGACTAACACTGGCATTAGTCAGCTTTCTCTGAGCACACCCAGTTAACGAACAGGGGAGAAAGCTCGAAGCTTGTCAGTTTGCCAGGAAGGCTGGTCTGTGTTTGTGACAGCCTGTCGGCATCAGGGAACATGGACAGCTGGATTGGATGCATTTTCAAGAGCATTCCAGAAATCGCTGCAAATGGCTGGCAAATTTTCGTATTTCATCTGGTGTTTGGGGATAAATGAGACCAAGATGTTTTCTACATAACCTTAAATAAACGAAGTATTGGATAAGCCAATTGGTCTTCAGCCTCTACTTCATTTTTGCAGTCATTGAATTTTGGGCGGAGTATTCGTCCCCATGAAGACTGATCAGAAGTGATTTGAGATTAGTGAGCACTTTGTCCGCTCTGGAGATGGTGAATGGTGACCCGCTGTAGTCCCCCAGTCTCCATCCCTCTCACAGAGTAGATAGAAGTGAGCAGACTAGCTTTTCAGAAGCTTAAAGGCTTGGCAACCACACCCGCCTTCTGATTGGTGGGAGGGGCATTAGATGCTTGTCTTACTGAGGCTGAGGCATCCTTGAATTCAGTGGGTGGGTCCATGCTGGCTTCAGCACTGGAGGTTAGTGGGCTAGAGAAGGAGCCCTCAGAGGAGGTCAACATCATCCTTGTTAGTGCTTGGACCACCGAACTGGAGGCAGGAGGACCAGGGAGAAGGAGCATGGGGAGCCAGGAAGTCTGATGAAGTCCCTGTTCGCCCCCCAGCTGTGCCTGGTCCCCCAAGCCAGTCTGCTCAATTTTCTTTTTTATTGATTAAGGTATTACATAAGTGTCCATATATCCCCGATTGCCCCCCCCCCCCATACATAGTCTGCTCACCTTTGAAATAGAAATGACACCATTTCCTTGAGAGGGTTGCCCAGAGGGTGAAGATGAGCTGACAGAGAGTTCAGGCAGTTGTACTCAGCTGGTATTTCTCTCTTTCCTCTTCCCCTACGGTAACCTTTTTTGTCCCAGGGGATTGAAAGGTTTTTCCCTCTGCTCTTTTTTTCAGGGAGGACTTGGACCAGGAGGAGAAAGCCAAGTTTGGGGAGTACTGCAGCAGTGAAAGTGGAAAAGGCCGGGAGTGGTTTGCTCGATACGTGAGTGCCCAGGTAAGAGCAGGCGTGGTGGGAGAGGTGGGCGGTGATGAGGAGGGGCCTGGTGATATATAGCATCCTCTTTCTTTTTAACTCCTCCACTCAGGAGAAAGGAGTCGAGGGAAATGACCCAACAGAAAAAAAAGTAACACTTACCTCAAGATGTTCTGAAAGGCCTATTTAGGATAGTGGGAAGTGGCATGTAGCTCATTTGGATGCCCAGCTGGGAGGGAATGAGTGGGAAACTGGCCTGCCCACCACATGAGAGTCCAGGAAAGTTCATCTTTTCAAGGCAAGCATGTGGGTTATGTCCATGCATCTTTTTGTTAAATAACCTACAATATTCGGTTTTTCTGAAGATATATTCAGGACACTGACACCTGTAAGTTCAGAAAAGAATTAAATTTTGTAAATATACAGTGGATTCCTTTTTTTTTCCTTCTATAAAGTGGTTTAAGTTCTTAGTTTTTAAAAATACATTTTATTGATTTTTTTACAGAGAGGAAGAGAGAGGGATAGAGAGTTAGAAACATCGATGAGAGAGAAACATCAATCAGCTGCCTCCTGCACACCTCCTACTGGGGATGTGCCTGCAACCAAGGTGTATACCCTTGACCAGAACCTTGACTGGGACCTTACAGTCCGCAGGCTGACGCTCTATCCACTGAGCCAAACCAGTTTCGGCTAAGTTCTTAGTTTTTAAAGTATTTTTCTGCCAAATAATTTATTCTTCAACGAGAAATTAGAGAAGTGCAAGTTAGCACAAGTAGAAAAACTACTAATAAACCTACAATCCAGAAATAGCCAATGTTGTCAATTGGGGTTTTGCCCCTCCATACTTTTGTGTGAGGGTGAGGGGAGAAGTTCCTGGGAGATGCAGTGAAACATCTGCCTGTGCTCCAAAGAGCTGCGTCCTGTGCTGGGTGCCAGCACCTGCCGGGGTCCTGGCTTCTCAGAGCAGGGGAGGCTGCATGGTCCTGGGCTCTCACCCCGCTGCCTTAAGAGATGCTCAGCATGGTAAGCCCACAGCCCCTCTGAGCTGCTCTGTGCCTCTGCCGCCCGCTGCCCGATGACGTGTCTGCCCTCTCCCCCGCCAGCGCTGCAATTCCAAGTGTGTCTCAGAGCCGACCTTCTACCGCCTCGTGCAGTCGTTTGCCGTGGTCCTGTTCGAGTAAGTAATGTTGTTGCCCAAAGCCTTTGTCCTAAGGAGCTTGTCTTCTCTTCCTCTCTTCCCGATGATAACCCGGTTGTGAGTAAGAGCCGCTGAGTCATCAGCTCGCAGCTGCTGTGATGCACCCAGCATCAGCTAAAAGGAGAAGTCGTGACCAGCAGCTGTGGGAAGGGGTTAGGGAGAAGCCTTACCTGCAGAGGAGACTGGAGGGTGCAGCTGGGTATGAGTAAATCCCTCACGCGGGTCCCAGGGCAGGCTGTGATTACACCCAGCTGATCTCACCCTTCTCCAGCAGAGATCTGAAATTTTCTTGATTTCCTGTTATGAAGTACTTCAAGCTAGGTAACCGCCCACTTAATGATACGACTGGGTGACACAGCCTGCTCTGTAGGCATTTGGCACTGCTGGGCCTTTTCTCACAAAGGCGTTGTAGACAGTATGTGTGTGGGGGTGGAAAGGCTCCCTCTGCCTCTGTGCAGCTGTGCGAGGCAGCCCCTGGACTCACAGGCTCTCCTCCTGGGGCCCCACGGCTCTAGGACTGCCAGGCCTGCTTCAGACGCCGTGGACTTGTATCAGAATGGGTGACATGTCCTCCAAATTATGAATCTAAGGGACACCTTTAGGCCTGGGGGAAGCCGAGCAGTGGCTTCAATGATCCAGGTAGACAGCATGGATTGTGGGTGGGAAAGGAAGAGGCTGGTCTGACAATCACTTAGTATCCTTCCCCCATCACCTCATTGTGGCCTCAAAGCTTCTACCATGGCCGCCTCCCTGTGTCCCCATGTCTGTTTTGTCCTTCCCTTCCTTCCCACCACAGAAACGTAGCTCTTCTCTTCAATATTAACTCCCCCCCTCCCCCGTGTCTCTTCAGGACGTGGGGCATGTATTGGAGGAAAATGAGCAAAAGAGCCGAGGATCTGTGTCTCCTGTGTTTCTCCAGAACACCCCAAGTTCAGGAGATAGTCCCGGGGGAGGCGGGAGGAGAAACTGGGTGCGCCCCGCCTCAGCTGAGAGCTCATGTTGACTCGTGTGCACCATGTTCTTAGATACAAGATTCTTCAACTTCCAGACATTTGCATCTACAGAAGTTTTCATGAACCCATAGTTTGTGTAGATTGGGCCCGTCCAATAACATACTTATCTACCACACTTATCTACTTCTTAAAGTAACATACTTATCTACTTCTCAATTTTTCTTTGCATTTTTCCTTAAATAAAATCGAGGGGAAAATTAAATTCAAGTTTCAACCCTGCTAATACACAATCTTTCCATTACTTTGTGAGCATATATATTGTTGTAGGATTGCAAGCAAAACAAAACTTCATAATATTTTGAAATGTTTATTAATTTTTTGAAATATGAGTTTTCTAATTTTAGTTTATTAGCATCTTGAGCTTTTACTTTTATTTAGTCTATATGGTTTTATTAGTAGTTTAGTTCTTTAAATTTATTAAATTATTTTTATATTAAAATAGCAACAAAAATGACCCAAACCCACTGTCTAGATCATTTCTATTGACTTTTTCTTCAATTGTTGTTTGTTCAAGTTTAAAAATTAAACTAGCTCTGGCTGATGTGGTTCAGTGGTTAGAACATCGGCCTGCACACTGGAGGGTCTCAGGTCTGATTCCTAGTCAAGAGCACATACCTGGCTTGCAGGTCCAATCCCAGCTTGCTTAGGGTGCATGTGGAAGGCAACCAATCAATGTGTCTCTGTCATATTGACGTCTCTCTCTCCTTTTTTCCTACCTCTCTCCTTTCTTCCACTCTCTCTAAAAATCAATGGAAAAAATATTCTCACTTCTCATGTGAGGATTAAAAAATATCTAACTCACGTAACTCACATAACTGGACCAAGGGCCATTATTTTTGTTGTCTCTCCTAAGTAGCATCTGGGAAGTAATTAATTTGGGCATCTTTGTAAAGGATTTTGGTCTTTTTTCATGAACTTGGAATAAAAAGATCGGGTAGAAAGAGAATCAGATGGGGTGATTATTTAGCCAGTCAACCTTGCTTCCCATTTCAGATGTCATCAGATGGATGACTTCGGGCCTGCCAAGAACCTCATGACCATGTGCTTCACTTACTACCACATCGGTAAGACATGGACCTGGCTCACGTGGAGGGCAAACTTGGGAACTCAGAACTTGTCAACTTCTAACCTGGCATCAAGAGAGGATTCCTTCCTGACCAAAGACAAAGCTGTGAGGCTTCCAGAAGACAGTGAAGGCTGATGCCAGGGAGGGAATGAGCAAGGAGTGAGATTCCTGAGCAGGAGGAGGCATGGTCTGCCTAGTGGGTCAACTTCCAGCTGCTGGGAAGTGAGGAAACACTTCCCAGCGGGCGTTTCATGCATGGCGCAGGCACTGCTGGATGTAAGGACATCAGCTTTAGGCTTGGCTGTTGTGGGAAGGTGAGAGAAGCAGTCTGGATTCTGGGCTGGGAAACACTCCCAGGCATGGGTCAGGGTGCCTTCATGCCGAGTGCAGGCTGTTCTTTGTGCTGAGATCTCACTCCTGGCTCATCCCATTGGGGCATTCTGGTATGCAGAGCTGGAGGGCTCCCTGTCTTAAGCTGCTATAACAGTCTCATTCGGGCCACGGAAGGAGATGTTGCTAGCCTGCATGGGGACTGGAGGTGGGTCAGGGCAATGCTAAGCGCACCCTTTCTGCGTGACCACGGGTTGATCTTGTGTGTATTCCTGTCCTCAAAATTTGACTTTGTCCTCTCCTCATTCCAACAGCCGGCCTCTCTGTGCCCCTCAGTTCTGTTGGCAGCAGCTGGTCTGACTGCTTGCGCTTGGCCAGGCCACCACTGGGCAGGCTCTTGGTGCTGGCCTTTCATTGGCTGCCATTGGGTCAGATGGGAACCTGTCATCCAACCTGTGGCTCCTTCTTCTCCTAGAACAGCTAGATGCTACTTATCTGAGTCAGATCTGTGCCCAGAGCAGCTGAAATGAGGAGATACTCAGTACCTGTAGAGGCCCTTTGACCTGTAGAGGATGCCTTGGCCCGAAGGGGTCACTTTTGACCTGAAGGGGGCATCTTGCCTGGGGGGTTTCTTGGTCTATGAGGGGGTGACTTGGCCTATAGGGGGCACGTTGGCCTGTAAGGGAGGCCTTGGCCTGCAGGGGGTCTTGGCCTGAAGGCCCATACACTGCCCTTAGAAAGGGACATTCCTTGTGTTGCCTCCACTCACACTCCTCTTCCCAGGACTCCCTCCTCTAGCTATCTCCCTCACCCAGCACCCTCCTGTCTGAGGCCCCGTGCAGGTGCCATCAGCTTCCTCCCACCACAAGGAAATACCCCTCCTCTGTCGCCCTCCCCGCCTTGGCCTCTGCCATTGCCTTCCCTACCTCTCGCTGTGTGCATTGCTCACCTCCTTTCTGGGCTGCATGCAGCTTTGGGGCTGGATCCTTGCCTGTTTCTCCTCTGGCCCCTGTGGCACCTGTGCAGTCCGTGCTTAGTGCTGCCCCAGACAGAAGGTGCCAGGCTCACGTCTCCCAGGTGCCAGGGGCACCTCTCAGCTGTGTCTTCTCGCTGCCGTGTCCGTGTCCGGCCATGTGGAAGGAGGCCTCCTCACCACATCAGAGTGGCTCCGGGTCAGGGTGCCTTCGTGCAGAGTGCAAGCTGCCAGGCGTCTCTTCTGCCCTTTGCTGCTGCTGCTGCACAATGCGGTTCTTATTCCCACTTTCTTCCTCCTCTGCCTCCAGGCAAACCACACCTGCTTCCCTCAGAATCCAAGGAGAAGCCTGCAGGGAGCATCGACTCCTACCTGAAGTCCGCCAACAGCTGGTTAGCGGAGAAGAAGGACATCGCCGAGCGGCTGCTGAAGAACACGGCCAAGACGGAGAACGTCAAGGGCTTCTTCGGGGGGCTGGGACCGCTGGTCAGGAAAAACGAGTAAGTGTCGCCTGCGGAGCCTCTCTGTCTCACTGGGGAGGGGCAGCGCTCAGGCGTGACCAACAGCCGAGATGACTAAGTTCGAGGTGAGAGGAGGTGCTGGCCTGCTAATGACAGTCTGTTCACCCCTGGCCCTCTTAGGGGCCCGGGAGCGGCTCGAGGAGTGCAGCTGCCTGCCCGGCTTGCCTCCCTGTCCCCAAAGTTCTCTAGGGTTTCCAAATGGGTTCTGCTTGTCGACATGCAGGGAGGCCCCTGTGGGTCTGTGCTTTCTGGATGGATGAGGAGCACTTGGACATTGTCAATTGGCGGGAGGGAAATGGCAGAGTTTTGAATGCAGAGAAAATGGCACAACGATGCCTAAATTAAAAAAAGACTGGCAATTGACCAATGTAGCATTGGTTTCATCAAAATTCGGTTTAGAGAAAACCACATGAAATGTCCACACTGATTGTGAGACTGAGTCCCGGTTCAGCAGTGTAAAGCGGTTTCTTTGAGAGAGTGTGGGGGTCATGTTGTCACTGCCATGGTCCCTCTCCCCCAGGGAGGAAGAGAGCAAGCCCAAGGACAAGCCGCAGAAGACTGGTGAGTGCCACCCAGCTACCCGGTCCCATAACCCAGGCCCCGCGGGATTCTCCCACCAGCCCCCCTTTAACTAGCAGCACCAACAGGAAGGTGCCTAACTGTCCTGGGCTGCGCTGCCCCTGCAGAACAAGGCGCTGCCGTAGGTGACTCTCCAGTCCCTCTCAGCTCCAGTCTGTCTTCTTGCTCAATTTCCGTAGGAGAGCCAGTCCTTTAGGGAGAGGCAGCGGGAACTAAGCTCCTTATCCCAGATGTTCAGGGACCTATCACTGGGGGTGCAGGAGCCTTCGGGGGATCCCTCCCTCAGAAAGGGTCATTGCCAGGTGTGAGGAGCCTCATTACTGCCCACAAGCAGTGGCAACGCCGTCGTGCAGTTTCAACTGTGCAGAAGTGTGCATGCCCGTGGCCGCTGGGGAGTAGCAGTGGCCTCAGCAGCATCCATGGGGTTTGCAACCAGAGCCATGCTCAGTCTTCCTCCCCCTCCTGCAGTGACCGTGTGCAGCCCGGAGGAGGAGAGGAAGGGGGAGAAGATATACCTGTACACGCACCTGAAGCAGCAGCCCATCTGGTAAGGCCCCCTGGCACCTGGGTCACACCAGAAATGAAGGTCACTCACACACACAGGATAGCCAGATAAACAGATGAACAATAGCAGGGTTGGTGAGGATGCGGAGAAATTGGAGCCCTCATATACTGCTGGCGAGATTGTCACCTGGGGCAGCCACTTTAGAAAATAGTCTGGCAGTTCCTCAGAAGGTTAAACATAGTTACCTATGACCAGCAATTTCACTCCAGAAATGTACTCAAATGGTACTCAAGCAAAATCTTGTGCATATATCTTCTCAATAGCGTTCTTCCTGGTGGTGGAAACAATCTGGCTGTCCATCCCTACGGACATTTGCCGTATGGATACAGAGTGACATATCCATACCATGGATGTCCTCACCCGTGTAAAGGAATGAGGCACTGGTACCTGCTAGAGCGTGGTGACCCTGGAACAGATTTTGCTAAGTGAAAGGAGCCAGACCGAAAGACCAGATGGTGTGATTTAACTGATCTAAGGTGTCAGGACGGGCAGATCCCTGGAGACAGAGTAGATTGGTGGTTGCCAGGAGTTGAGGGCATTAGGGAATGAGGGGCGACTGCTGATGGGTATGGGGTGATGAGAATATTTTGGAAATAGATGGTGGTGATGGTTGCACCACTCTGTGAATATACCAAAACCACTTAAGCATTGCATGCTTAAAAGAGTGAACTTATGGTACGTGATTTATATCCCAATAAAGCCACTTTATATAAAGGTGCGGATGAAGTGAGAGGCCAGTGGTCAGGGGAAATGAGCACTTGGGACGCTAATCCCTCTGCAGCCTCTCCATCTCCACATTTATTTCCTCACAGCAGGCAATGCACCAGCACCTGGATCCCCAGGGTAGCAGGCATGCCCTCCCTCTGAGGCCACAGTGTAGCTGTGGGAGAACTTGGCCACAACAAAGCCAGGGTCTGGCCAGAGGGCAGGGCTGGAGCTGTCCAGAAACTCCCCTGGGGAGGCCCCATCTGAGTTGGGCCACTTTCGAGGGGAATCAGGGAGAAGTGGAAGCTGACCAGCCTGTCACAGCCCCTGGGCCTTGACTTGAAAGCTGTCTCATCACCTGCAATAGGGTTCCAGCCCTGAAGGGCCAGGCGATGAATATTTTAGGCTTTGCAGGCGACCACTCAACTTTGCTGTTAGATACTACCGTGTTTCCCCGAAAATAAGGCATCCTCCGAAAATAAGACCTAGCGCATGGAAAGATAAGACATCCCCTGAAAATAAGACCTAGCGCAACTTTGGGAGAAAAAATTAATATAAGACACTGTCTTATTTTCAGGGAAACAGGGTATGTAAGTGAATAGGCGGGGCTATGTTCCTATAAACATTGATTGACACAGGCAGCAGCCAGATTCGGCCCACCCACCAAATCCATGCTTGGCTGACCCTGATCTTTTTTAAGAGGAATGCTTCTTATTGTGTGTCCCTGTAAACATGTTTGCCCTCTGCACATAGCCTGTCCCTGCCAGGTTCCATTTATGTCACCAGCACCTGTTCTGGAAAAGCAGATCTCTCTGAACCCCCTGCATTCTCTTGGGAGCCTCAGTGGGAGACGGAGAAGCGGGAAAGGGCTCCTGCTCTTAGTGGCTTCAGCTTTGACCTGGGGAATCCAGGGTTACCCAGCTCTGCCTCCTTCCTGCCTGCACTTCACCCAGGCACTCATGATGCTTGGCCGGGAGCCCCAGCTGGAGGCACCTGATTTAGGAGTAAGGCTCAGTTGTCTTCCCATCTCAGCCCTGCCTCTCCGAGACCTGTCCATCATCCGGATGTGGCTGGAAACAGCTTCCTCCCCCCTCAAGTGGGCGGGAGCTGCCTCTCCCTCACCGCTGGGGGACAGTGACGTGTGTCTCTGTTTCACAGGCACACACTGAGGTTCTGGAATGCAGCCTTTTTCGATGCTGTCCACTGTGAGAGGAGAAAGCGGTCCCCCACGACCAGGTAGGAGCAACACGTGGGCTGGCGCTCTGGGGAAGAGGACCCGGCGGCGCTTTCCCCTGGTTCTGAAGAGGAGAGCAGAAGAATGGCTGAGTCCACGGGTCTCTCTCCTGCAGCCCCGGGCCGTTGCCTGCAGGCTGCCTGAGGCCCAGGCGCAGAACGCCAGGGGTGGGTGGGGTACTTGCATGAGCTCTCCCTGTCCTGGGGCTGGCATGACTCAGCCTGATTCTCCTACGAAACTCGGACTCCCCCTCAGTGGACCCCTCAGGACCCCTCGGGCTCACTCTGCCTGTTCTCTGTAAGAAGTCCGAATCCTGAGCATGAACCACTGCTGCAGGATCCTGGGGTGCAGGGCTGGCCATCACCTCCAGACTTTGCTTGAACATCTGGAGAAATGTAGTTGCTGCTTTCAACTTACTCCTCTGGTTTGCAGCCCTTCCCAGCTTCCCTGGGAGTGGTCTCGCCACTTCCAAAGACCCCTAGGGTGAACCGTTTCACCAAGCACATGCCACGTGGTGGCAGTGAGGGGTTGGCACTCAGTTCTCTCTCTGGTCACAGTGAGCTGAGGTTGCCATGGGCTGGTGCTCTGTTCTCTCTCTGGTCACAGTGAGCTAAGGTTTCCCCCCACTGCGCACAGCGCTGGGCAGGACTGGCAGCAGCGCCCTTGTTGGCCTCCCTGGTGGGGACTTTGGAAACCTCTGAACCTCTCTCACTAACAAAATGAATCCCCTCTCTCCTAACCCCAGGGAGACCCCTTAACCTCGGTCCCTGGCTAGAGAGAGGGCAGATCCTGCCTTTTGAGTCTTCATCCCACTAGCACGTGGGGGAATTGCAGGTGAAATCTGTTTGGGAGCGAGGTGGCCTGCCTGTGCCCCAGCAGTCTGCCGTGGCTGAGTCTCCTGGGGAGGCAGAGGGAGCACGCGGGGGTCGGGGTGGGGGGCTGGCGCATCCCAAGGACTCTAGAGAGAACTCTACACTCACCAGGGAACGAAGCAGAAGGAAGTGCTCAGATGCTCATAGGTGAATGGGGTTTCTTGCTGCTTAGCTCTCAAATCCCGAGGAAGCAGATTTACCTCAAATACGCCGCCTCTCTCTGTCCTTCTCGCTTCTGCCTGTAATAACCCTCCTTCTTCCGCTTGTTCTCTTTTTCCATCCACATATCTTGCATGACTTTGACATGTTCCTCTGTTGACCTGTTTCTGCTGCCGCTCCAGAGGGGATGCTGGAGAGGAGGAGAAGAAGAGGTGTGTGTCCACGTGACGTTGTTCATGTTACAGTGCCGGGTCCCCTCAGGGCCACCTCAGGTGGGCGGGGGTGGCCGGAGCCCAGACACAGGGGCTACTCAGCACTGGCTGCCAGCAGTGAGGCGGGGTCCCTGGGGGCCAGGCTGGTGATGGGTGAGAGCTCTCCAAGGACAGAGCACCCCAAAATAGGAAACAAGGCACCCAGACCTCCCAGAAGGCCCATTGGGAGTTCAGAGAGGAAAGAACTGTGAAGTCCAGAAAGTCAGCTCTGATTTCAAGCAATTCAAGCTTTCCGCCGGCCCCTCTGGTTCCTTCCAGGCCGACCTCACAGCCACACCCATATCTTCACTGTGTCACACTGGAATCCTGGCTCCGAAGCCCTGGGCAGGTGCAGGGGACACTCGTCACACACTCGGGTGTGCAGGGGTCTGCCAGACCCTCGCCGCCGTAACAGGGTGGGGAGTCACAAGAAAGGGGCAGCTGCTCTCTCTCCCAGCCTACGGAGCCCCCGTGTGCATGAGGGGTCCCCAAGAGAAAGGCCTAGCATGGGGTTGTTTTCTGGTAGCCCACGGTGGGGTCTGACTCTAATAGAACTTTCTATTTGTTGGACTTCCTTTGTCATATTGGGGCCTGCCTCTTCAAAATATCGTTTCTGATACAAAGATTTCAACATGCTTCCTTTAATCAGTAATATAATTTTGGTGCTTACTGTTTTGTGAGAAAATTTGTTTCTTGTGCAGCCTTCCTATAGCTCTGAAAGGGGCATGCAGGCATAACCAGGATCTCCTTTAGGAGAAAGCCCCTGAGTTCGCACAACCTCTGAGGGTGAGGTGGTGACCAGCTTCCTGGAGCAGGCTCCTTCGCCTCAGCCAGAGGGTGGGGGCATGTGGCCGCCGGCCACTCAGTGCCCAGCCTGGGAGCAGGCCAGCCCTCTGGGCCTCACAGGCCTTCTCGCTGGGGCAGAGGTGGTCTGACCACACTCATCTCAGACCTGCTCCCGACACCCAAACGGGCCCTAGGCTGTGCCTGGAAGAGGGGCAGATGTGGCTTCTAAATTGGGGGCAGAAGGGTCAGCTCCGACTCCAGGGCAGCTTGATGCCTCCGTATTATTCCTCCTCGTTGTAAACTGCTACGATGCCATTAGAGACCTCGGGTGGGAACACCTCCTGTGACGGCTCCCCATTCTACGGGCTGTTGGTCACTCCAGTTCCCACTGCTGCAGTCTAGATGCATGTCCCACCCCCCAGGAGCTTTAGAACTCGGCTGGGACTGGGTGGTGGACTGTTTAAAGGAATGGATTTGGATGTAGGCATCCCCTTCCACCTCTTTCTTCAGAGGTCAGAATACAGGTCCCGGTTCCACTCCCAGTCACAGCAAACAGAATCCCTCTGCTCCTGGGCCCAGACGGGCCGAGTCAGGGCTGCTGGGCCCCGACTCCAAAGGATCGGGTCTGTGCAGCCTGCAGCCTGCACACCTGCCCCAGCGGCCTGGGGGCAGGATGGGATCTGGGTGCCTGGACAGCTCTAAGGGGACCTCTGGGGAGAGAGGGCGGGGTTAACGCAGCACCTGGGAGCAGAGGCTGGCTGCCTGCCTGGTGTCCTGTCGGAGGCAGAGGAGACACATGCCCTTGCCTCCCTCTTGCCCATGTCCTGGGCCTCCCGCTGAGCGGCAGCGGCACCTGGGGAGTCCCACACCGGGAGGGGCGGGTGAAGTGTTGATGTTCTTGGTGTTTCTCTTCCTCTGGCTTCTCCATTATCCCAACCCCTCGTCCCTCATACTGCCTCCTCTCTCCCTTTTCTCTGATCTTCCTCTTAATCTTGTTTTGATCAGATTCATCATCCAGAGTTTAATTTTTAGGGGGAAATAGGCTAAAATGAGCTTCTCACCATCTGCACCTCCTGCAAGTAGCACACTTCAGATGCAGGGGACACGGGGGCAGAGTAGCGCAGGGGTGGGGTCCCCTGGAGACAGGGCGGGAGAGACAGTGGGGACAGCTTTCCGGCAGGGACAGCATGAATCACTCAGAACACCTTCCCCTCTCTGCATCCTTTTCTCACTTTGTGTTAGAGGCTTTATGCCATCTTCATGGTGGGCACAGGTCACCGTTCACTGGGGCCTGCGGGGAGGACCTGAGTCTGGTCCACGCACCCAGGAGGGCGTGGACAGGCAGCGCTGGCTGTGAGGAAGCCACAGGGAGAGAGTGGGACCGCAGCACCCAGGCTGCCTGACCGGACAGTGAAGGCGGCAGGCCCTCCAGCCCCCTGCTCCCCATGCCTCGGGCATAGCTGCCCACAGAGGGCCATGCCCTCCCCGCAGGCCAGAGCCAGCAGAGTCAGAGAGGCCCGAGAGCCTCTTTCCAGGGTCTGGACGTCCACTCACCACGGGACGCCACAGGGTTCTTTCCTCCTCATGCCTCTGTCCGTAAAATGGGCCGTGACCTCCCTCCCTCAAACCAAAGAGAAGGGCATGCGGGTGGCATTCTTAGCTCCTGGAGAATGTCCTAGGCCAGTGGTCGGCAAACTCATTGTCAACAGAGCCAAATATCAACAGTACAATGATTGAAATTTCTTTTGAGAGCCAAATTTTTTAAACTAACTTCTTCTAACGCCAGTTCTTCAACATAGATTCGCCCAGGCCGTGGTATTTTGTGGAAGAGCCACACTCAAGGGGCCAAAGAGCCACATGTTTGGCTCGCGAGCCGCAGTTTGCTGACCACAGTCCTAGGCAACCACCAAGCACACGTCCCCTCCCGTTGGTAGGAAGTGTCTGAGCTTTGGGCCCTCCTCATCTTAGGAAGGGTGACATTAGTAACTGGGGGGGCCCTCAGGCAGTGGGGACGCTGACGGGCTTCCTGTGGGGAGGCCCTGCGTGGGCACCGCTGACGCCGTAGGTCAGAGCAGGGCGGGGAGTGGCGGGGCGCAGGGGCGCTCTGAACGGCCTCCTGCCCCTGTGCTTGCAGGGAGAAGTGGTGCCACATGACGCAGGAGGAGCGGGACGACAGCCTGCGGTTCAACGAGAACATCACCTTCGGGCAGCTGGGGTAAGAGCAGGGGCCCAGCCCACCCTCGTGACACCGGTCACCCACAGCCAGAGAACAGGGCAGAGGCGCTGACGCCGACGCCCATGCTGGGTGGGGACGCTCCCACCCACAGGGCGCGCTCAGTGACAGGGTCAGCACAGCGAGAAGCTCAGACACCTCAGCAGCATGTGACTCATTACATTCGGCCTGGATTCCAGTCCCTCTCACCCACCTCCTGTCTCCACACCGGAGGCGGCACTTCCACAGGGAGCCGTTGGCCGGCTGACAAGGACCGGTTTATTTTTACTTCTGTCTGACAGTCCCAGGCAGGCGGCAGGCGGCAGAAAGAAGGGCGGGTCCGGTCCCCCCCCCCCCCCCCCCGAGGGCAGGAGGGTGCTAGCTCATGGTGTTTTCTCTCCAGCACGTTCACTCACAACATGCTGGCCTTCGGGCTGACCAAGAAGCTGTGCAATGACTTCCTGAAGAAGCAGGCTGTGATCGGCAACCTGGACGAAGGTGAGTCTCGGCCAGAGGCAGGGCTGCCGTCCCAGGGACCAGTGCTCTGCAGACCAGGCTCCCCGCCTGCTGAAGGCATGGCCCCCGTTTTAGCGAGAAGCGGGGTGCTAAGTCCGCTGGGTCGCCCCTCCTCTGTCTCTGTCGACTTAAATGCACAAGACACTGCTTGCGCTGTTTGGAAGCTATTTCAGCCCGGAAGGGTTGCCAGGGGCGGGGGAGCTTGCAGTGCCAGGTCAGGGACAAGGGTAAGGATGTAACTGTGTGCTCAGACTATGAACTTAAAAATAGCCACACTCACCACCAGTTGCCCCTCCTTCTAAATGGCCACCACATGACCTCCCTTTGTTTCGTAAACCTGCTGCAGTGGGCGGTAGGTGGGGAAGGTGGAGGGCATATTGAGGTTTATCTAGAGTTTCTGCTTCTGTAACAGAAGGGGACCCATTGCTGATGTCAGCTCCCCCGATATAGGGCTGTGCCCACCTTCAGGCATCACCCCACCTGCTACAAACAGCATTTCTTCCATATGTCTCCAAGCCTTCCTTCGGTGCATATTTGGATTGGCCAATGTTGTGTGTTTTTAATAAAACTTCATCCTGCTCTGGTCAGGTAGCTCAGTTAGAGCAACATCCTAATATGCCTAGGTAGTGGGCACATACGAACATCAACCAATAACTGCATAAATTGAAAAAACAAACAAACAAAAAAACACACACATGTAATCCTGCACCAAATTGAAAGCGTTACAAAAGAGTGGCCTCAAGAAGGGGAGAGTGTTAGAGGCGCCCCCAGATTATCTCAGATGTTGTCATCAGGCTGCCATACCAGCAAAGGGCAGGAACCCCATTCCTCTCCCACCACGTGGCTCCCGTGACAGTCTGCCCGCACCGTGCCTCCCACAGGCTTCTGGGAGGGCCCGAGGGACCACACTTTGTATTCTGCTTCCCATGGTGCCAGGGAGCCCATTTGCAGGTGCATGTCCACACCTGGCCCTGACGTGGTCCTGACTTGTCATTGCCTCGGTGAGAAGAGCAGGACTTGCCTGCCCATGCCACCATTTTTTCTACAAAACGCACTGTCCTCTCTTCCAGAGCAATACAAGCTGCTGAGCGACCACATCGAGCAGATGGCCGCCGAGTAGGCCACGGGGTCGCCCAGGGCACTCCTCAGGACCGAGGGGCTCCACTCTCCTGGGCCAGCGACTGGCTGTCACCCACCTGATGACCCTGCATGACACTGGCAGCACCCAGCGCCGCCCCACGCTGCCCCAGAATTAGCGGTTAGAAGACTCCGGCTGCCCGCCTCCCCTCCCCCTCGCCTGTGTCAACTCCCCCGCTCATGTGCCAAAGTGTCCCTGGACTGTGTGACTAAAACGAGGTGACGTCCACTCTCCCACGTGCCAGGCCTGTGGCGTGGAATTGAAGGAAGAGGAAGGAGGCCAGGACCAGGGTGGGCACAGGGCGGTGTCTGCCCGCAGCCCCTGCAGGACAGGGGGGTGCGTGGGAATGCACACAGGCAGCCCTGAGCCGGCCACGATGGCACAGCAGCTGGAAGGTGGTCTGGGGCTCTGCTTCGGGCTTGGGCAGGGCAGGCTCCCATCCGCTCCTGCTGCGCGGGCGTGTGGCCGGTAGGGCCTCTTAGTGCTGGTCCGCGCCAGTGCTGGCTTCTTCCTGGCTCCCCCCGCCGTGTCACAGGGACCAAAGTCACAGGAATCTCCAGGAGGTTCTCATTTAGTGCGGGAGAGAGGCCAGAGCAGAGGGCCTGGCCTCAGCCTGTGTGGAGCACCCGAGAGGTCACCGCAGCGGTCAGCCCAGCGTGAGGAGTCTGTGTCGCCGTCGGAACTGTCCCTGGTCAGCTGGCAGCGCCCTCTGGCTCGCTGGGAGTAGCCTCAGCCGTCCGTCCCAGGAAACAGCACAGGAAAGAGAGTTCTTCAGTGACTGCAAGACAACCGCCCTTTCTCACGGCAAACAGTGCTGCTCTTCATTTCAAAGAAGGGACACAGCTGGGCGCAGGCGGCTCCTGGTGGCCGTGGTGTGAGGCCTGCTAGCGGAGGGCAACAGAGTGTTCCGCCCTCCACCCCTGGCAGCCTTGGGGAGGCGCCTTTTCCTGCTGCAGCCCAGGCCCCATTGAGCTCTTTCCTGCAGGTAACCCCTCCCCCATCCGGTGCCTGGGAAGCAGGACTCCTCCCTGAGTGTGTACCAGGCACAGCTCACCAGCCAAGCGCACTGAAGTTGGCCAGCAAGCGTCCGGCATGCTGGCTCCTCCAGTGGGAATTTCTCAGCCTCGTTCCCCATGGGCACTGACCTTCAGATGAGCTCGTGGGGCTGTCTGTCCTCCGTCCTGTTTTCCCTACTACCTCCTCCAGCTCGAAACCACAGCACATGACTGTCTCCTCTCGAGCACAGCGGATGCATGCCTGGTGGTCACTCATCCAGCCAGTGCTCAGATGGACGGGCACTGATGGAATGCCTCCCTGGAAGGTTCCAGAGAAGAGCAGGTGCTGGCAGAGCCATTGAACGCACGTCTGGATGATCATGAGAAACGTGTGGTCTGAGTGTCATCAGCCAAAAGCGTGTGTGTGTGTGTGTGTGTGTGTGTGTGTGTGTGACGTCAGCCTCCCTGGCGATGTCACTAAGCCAGCACAGCTGTGCTGCTGGTGTGCCTGCCGCCCTGTGTCTGAAGGTTGCATAGGCAGGCGTGTCCTGCCCCCAGCCCCATTTCCAGGCCCCAGTGATGGCAGTGTCTCTAGTAATGCATTTCGGAGAAATAACAAAATGGAAGGGTGTGTGGACCTCCCTCATCCAGTGCCTCCTTTAGGTAACTCATCCCCCTCAACCGTCCAGCCCTGAGCCCTGGATGCGCTGCTGTGCCCCCTCTGCACCCCTCTAGGACCAGGGCCTCCCCGAGGTCTGCCCGACCCTGCAGGGCCGCGGAGGCCCCTCAGCTTGCCTGTGTTGCTTTAGCAGTCATTTCCGAGCAGCTGAGATGAATTAAGATTTCAAGACGCCCCGAGCGCTTAGCCCTGTGCTCCAAGGTGTTGGTGGGAAGCTTTGATTAGCGTGGTTTCTGGAGGAAGAAGGGTGTGTTCGGAGACTTTCCCCGGAGCTGCGAGGTGGGGCCGGAGCGGCCTTCAGGAGGAAATGCAGCTTTGGCCTCTACAGGCTTTTCCAAACACTTTAATTCCCAGAAGATCTGGAGACGTTTTTTAATCAATCAGAAGATCTGGAGACATTTTTTAATCAATAGGCCCCTGGAGATGGCAGTTGAAAGTGGAAGGAAGAGTTGTTTTGTTTTCCCCTATGAGTCCTGTTCTCATAGATCCAGCTCCTCATTGGGGGCCGGGAGGCTAAGACTGGCCCTAGAGGTGCTGCCTGTCATGCTCAGCCCCACAGGGAGCGCTGGCTGAGACCCTGGTGCGGCCCGGCCAGGAGGATGGGGGCTGCTCTGTCTCCCTTGGCAACTGCCTTTGCCTGAGCATTTCACCTCAGACTGCCTCCTGCAGGAGCGGCTCCTTAGAAGGCTGGCAGCTTGCCTCAGTGGTATTTCCTCTCCTCTCTGTGACTGGTCTCCTCCCTCCAGGGCTGGGCAGAGCAGAGGGGAAGGGTCTGGGGGGGGTGGGCGAGCAGACCCAGGACGCACTCTCAGAGGCCCTAGTGAGGAGCTGGCTCACCCTGTGCGCACACAGGACGCTTGGGTCATAGTGCTCTGAGCCCTTCCCGTAAGCCCCTGAGCCTGAGCCTCGGAGCAGGAGGCTTCAGGCGGAGTCCAAGGGGAGAGGTTCCGGTCCCAGCAGGTGCAGTTTCCCAGGCCGAGCCATTAGGCCTGCCATTCGCAGTGCAGCCCAGCTTTCCTGCTGGCTGCCCCGGGCTGAGGCATAGGGAACCAGAGACATGTGACGCTCGCAAGGGAGACGTTCCCTGCTTGGAAAACGGAGATTGAAACGCAGCCTTGTATGTTTTTAAGCTTTGTTATCATTTTCGCAATGCTTGTGGGTGTTAAGAGGGGCCACGTTAGTATTCGGATTGCGTGTGTGTGTGTGTGTGTGTGTGTGTGTGTGTGTGTGTTTAACCAAAGGGAGGGAGAGCCAAATTCTGATATTGTAAGTACTTTGTACAGTGAGATGAATAGTCTGAGCTTCCTATTGCCAACGGAAAGAAAAGTGGGCCAAGAGGCTCTTACGTTACAAAAGGACTGGGAAAGGAGTCCACTTCCTAGTTCTGCTCCCAATGAAGGCCTGGGTGTTGGGGTTAACCCCGAGAACCCCGGGGAGGCCGGGCAGAGGCCAGGCTGGGAGTCAGGCACCTCCCGTGGATTCTGCTCTCACCTCTCCGTGCCCAGGGAGACTGCTGGATTCATGTGGCTACAGGGCAGCAGCTGGAGGTTCGCTCTTTCACGGACCATTTTATGTGGCTAATTTACCACCCGGCCTCCTGATGCGAGAAGCACAGCCATTCATCTGCACAGGAGTTGGCCCGGGGCTCTGTCTGGCGTGGGTGTTCGTGACCAGAAGTTAGGGCCACAAGCTGCAAGCCTGGCCCTCCTGGGCATTACTGTGCCCTAACCTTTGGCTTTTTAATTAGGGAGTAGCCAGGTAGAACCATGGTTAGGTCAGCTTGATTGCCAAATTACCCAAAACTTAAGACAGTTATGCAGCAGGGGGCTGAGTCCTTAGCCCAGAACTGAGGGAGCTTAGGAATCAGAGAAAGGGCAGGAGGGCTTGAGGCCCAGCCCCAACCTCAGGAGACGGGTGCAGCACGTCCTGCCTACCACGCCCAGCAGGTCCAAAGGTTTCATTAAACCAGCGGCTGCCAACCCTTCGGACCTCATGGACCACCAGTAGTTCTCGGACCACTGGTTGGCGACCGCTGGCCTAGAGCTAATCTCCTCTCACCTTCCTCAACTGTACATGAAACTGGTCCAAGGTTATTCTTCTCGCCCCTCCCACACCTTCCCAGCCTTTGGTTCTCCTGAACCATTGCTCTCACAACTCAGCCGGCTCACCCAGCTTTTCTGTAAACCATTTGTTCCTTCTCGTGTTTCTCGGGGATGTTTTATTTGAACGGCTTTCCGCCCAGCTTCCCCGTGAAGGGAGGTTGTGTGACCAGAAGTACCTCTAACAGACTGGTGTGCGGTGTTCAGGCCCCAGGCAGGGCAGGACTCGCTTAGCCACACGGGCCATGTGTCCGGCACGTCCTTACCCCCATGTGGCCGGGAGTAGGAGCGTGTTGGTTCTCCTGAGAACAGATGGAGGAATCGTTTTCAGGCTGTTCACACCCAGCGAATACAGCCATGCTGAGACCAAGGCAGGCTCTCAGGGGTGTCCTCTGCCCTTTCTGGTCATGCTCCTCCGTCATACGCAGGAGGGATGGAAGGAGCACCTGGGGGCCAGCCTTTGTTCCCTGGGTAATCAAGCTGCTGTCAGCCTGTGTCCCCATCAGCCAGCTGGTGAGTGGAAACCCAGGATTGAAGTGGGGCAGAGCACCCAGGGGCGGTTCTTGGTTGCTATGGGAAATGCACCATTTTCAGGAGCGAGCCAGGATGGTCATACACACAGCTCTCTCGGGGCATCTGCCACAGGGGGAGCCAGACCCTGGCTTGACCTGCAGACTCCCGGCGTTGACAAGGCCAGTCAGACCTGAGCCCTGTAGCCTGGAGCTCCTCTGCTCTGCCCCTGACTGGGGTTTGCACTTTAACCATAAAGAGGACTCCCCGTGGCCCTGTGGGTCAGTCCTAGGATGGGGGGCTGGGCCATGTGCTTATGAAAGGAGAACCGGACGTGGAGTGTGCACGGTGGTTCCACACAAGGCCTGATGGGTGGGGTTCTGACCTGGAGACAGTAAGGCTTATGAGCAAGCCCGGGCTGTCACTTCCCAGGGACCCCTTAAAGACAAGCCAACATTTGAACATTAGAAAATGCCAGAATTTCAACAACAGCACGATCCCCTGAGAACCCGTGAGTGGGTTGGGACATCACTTGGCTCCCACTGGGGCTTCAGGTGGGGTTTACACACGCGCATCCCCCGTTTTCTCTCTCACCCAGTTTGTCTCACGCCTAAGCCTGCCTCTGGACATCACCTTTCGGAGCTAAGGCGGCGTTCGGGGGGGCGGGCCTTTTATGTGTTGCTGTTGTACAGTGTGTCCCACCGGGTGATGCTCTGCGAACTGTACTTTTGGTCGACAGAGTTTCACGGTTGAGGATCTCAGAACGGTGCTGAGATGAAGCGCTGCTGTTGCTGGGAGGAAAAAGAATGTGTGTATATTGCACCTTGGACTGTCAGAAGGTGGAGACGGAAATAAATTATCGTTGAAGAAAAAGTCAGGCTGCCTGGTTGCTTGTTTACATATCCCCAAGAAATTGCAATCTCAGTGATATCAGAGGCTTTTCAGAGGCTAACTTTTTTTCTGAAGTCAAATAGATGTCACCATGTAGGGAGTGTTGGGGTCTTGTCCAGATGTGTGCGTGTCATGGGAAATGCCAAGAAGAGATTCCTCTGAATGATAACGAGCCTGGAGCTGTTTGGGCACTTGGGGGTAGGTCCTACTGAATGGAGTGGCTCCACCTGGACTGAACCTCAACCCAGGGCCTCCAGGACGCTTCAAGCCCCTTCCATCTGGAATCCTAACCCTGCGTTTCCTCTCGCCTCTTGCATTTGGGGGTTTGAGGGGCAGTAATGGGAACTGATGGAAGCGCCTACCCAAAACAAACAGGAGGTTTGTTTATTGGTCCTTTCCAACTTGGCTCAACAGGAGGCATTTTGTGAAATACTTGGGCTTTTGTTTTTTCTAATTAAAGGAAGTTAGTAGCCTCGTTCTAATGCTCTGGCCCAACCAGGTCTGAGAGGTGAAGTGAGGAGCAGGGAAGGGCCTGGAGGAGGAGTCCTTGGTACTAAAGCCTGGAACAACAGCTCAGCTCGAGGGGCCCAGGGCAGACAGTTCCCCACACAGTGAGGGGGACTGGGCATGCTCCCTGTGCTCAGTGGAGTGGGGCCCAACTCCATGTGCCCTACTCTCCCACCCAGACTTGACCCCAGCCCCTCTTAACCATACACGGAGGGACAGCCTGGATGGCGGTTGCCCCAGCTTGGATATCACGTCTGATGTTTCCCCTGGGGCTAGGAGTATCTCACCAGCAGGAGTAGCTCAGGGCTAGATTCAGAGGCAACTCCAGGGAAGGACCCCTCTGATGGGCAGCGGAACCCTGCAGAGCGGGGTAGGGCGGGAGACCCAGGTCCTGTTCCACCTTTCCCATAACTCCGCCAAATCATTGTTTAGTCCTCAGTTTCCTCACCTGTAAAATGGGAAGGAAATCATCACCTATCCTAGAAGGTTCCAGTGAGAATCAAAAGCAGTATATGCAAATGCAACATATGCAAATGACAGAGTTGTGCTTATCACCGTCCAATCCAATCCCGATCTCTCGTTTTCCTGATGGGAGGCATACCTGTGGGAAGGGTCCTACCCATTAAAGAGAAAGAATCAACGTGTTCTGTTTCAAGTTTATAGGAACAAAATGTAAAATGTAGTATTCAAAATTCACAAACTAAATAGAAAAGGAATTTAAACAATTAAGCTTTCAAGTGGTGTTTCTTTGCAAGTTGCAACCTTTTACTGACTTTAGCAAAGCTTAAACCTGCACTCACACTTCCGGAATTCCGAGCGATGGCTTTTCCCCTCAGACTCATGCTGCTCCTGTTGGCTGCATGTCTCCAGCTCTCCTGCCTTGGCGCCTGGTTGCTCTGGTCCTCTGAAGAAGCCTCTCACCTCTTCCCAGACCTGGGAGAAGAGCCTTCTCTGGAAGTCATTTCTTCATGTCATGAGACGTGGCTGTGGCGCTCTCTTTCCCCGCTTCCTCAGACATCTGCACAGATTGCTTAGGGAGCAACAGGGTGAGTTTGCTCAGTGAAGAGGAGGGGAAAGTAAGGGATGCAGAGGAAGGAAGACCACCCAATCCAGTGGCTCAGAGAGATCTTGGAGTCATGCTGCTTCCGACTCTACCCACCCCAACTCTTACCTGGGCCCCAAAAGAGAGAAATTAGAAGTTTTATTGCCAGTTTCCAAGTGACCCCCAAGGAGATGGTGACAAGGATAGCCAGCTGTCCAACCCTGTACCTAGGAATAGTTGTTCTCTGGGTATGTTGGGGCCAGAGGGGAAAGGAAGAGGTCAACTTATTTAGGGAGCACCTACTATGTGCCAGGCACCATCAGGCTCCAGGACTACCAGATGAATAAGCAACTTATTCATCAGTGGGGTTGGGACACAACTGAAGTTTTAAAAACTACATTTACATGTGTGTGTGTGTGTGTGTGTGTGTGTATACATATATATGCTTATCGTATCAAGTATAAGATAAAAGATATAGTTGAAATGTGAATATATATAATATATAATACAATCTATGAATATGGTATTTTATAAGTTACCTATGATATAGAGAATTTAGAATACTTTAGTTATTTTTAGAATGTCCTTCTGGATAGAATCAGGGTGGGCTTCCCTGAGGAGGAGCCAGGGAGCTAGATTCCGGGTAATACAAACGCTGTGGTGAGGATGTTCATCCTGCAGTGATCCTCATGACCCTTCTGAAAACTGAAATAATTTATCATCGAAGGAAAAGTCAGGCTGTCTAGTTGCTTGTTTCACATACCCCTGAGAAAATGCAATCTTCTCAGTGATATCAGAGGCTTTTCAGAAGATAACTTTTTTTTCTGGAGTCAAAGAAATGTTGTCACCAATGACGACTGATGAGAAAATCATGTACCCACCCCTTCCTTGACCCGCATCGCCCCTCCACTTCCCTGGACTTCTGTGATGTGTCCCCAGTCCCGAGGTCTTCCCTGCACACCATGTTCATCAACGTACATGTATGTAAGAATCAACAACTTACATGATGTAAGAATCAACTTACATGTTGACGTCCTAACTCCCAGGGCCTCTGAAAGTGGAAATAGACTCTTACTTGTGATTGGTTAGGATGGGGTCATCCTGGATAGGGCAGTGGGGCTGGCGTCTTTATAAATAGAGGGAATGTGGACTCCAGCACACACACTGGGGTCCCCAGGTCATAGTGGAAAACGAGAGTCAGCATGAGTCAGGTCGGGATGCACCCATTGTGTATTGACACCCATTCTGCAGCAGGCACCATGCTGGACACCTTGAACCCCAGAGCCCCCTGGGAGGTGAGAGATATTGTCCCTGTTGTACAGACGAGGAAACTGAAGCTCAGAGGACACAGCAGAGTCCCCCCAAACATCCAGGTCAGCCCCTAGTTTCTGGACTTGGAAGTTCTCATCCCATTGATGGAGTCCCTGTCCCAGCCCCCGAGGTCCTCCTTCTCCAGCTCCTCCTCAGCGAAGTCGTCCTCACTCGCCTCCTCTTCTTTCCTCTGGCTGCGCATGGTGCTCTGGGCGCTCTAA